TTTTTTTTTTTTTTTTTTTTTTTTTTCCTTTATTGCTATTTCCGAAGTGCCTAGAACCATGACAGATACATACCGGGTAAATATTCGTTGAATGGAAGAGAGAGAGAAAAGGGGGGGGGGGGGGGGGTGAAAGGAGAGAGGAAGGAAACGAGGGAGCGAGGAGACTAACCCGCATGAAGCACTTAGGTGGATAAACAAGATGTAACACCCACCGTGGAACGTTGTTCAGCTTTAAAAAGAAAGGGAATTCTGACACACGCTACGACATGGGTGAGCCTCGAGGACACTGTGCTAAGTGAGATAAGCCAGACACTAAAGGACAAGCACTGTATGATCCCACTTATGTGAGGCGCCTAGAGGAGTCACACTCGTGGAGACAGCAAGTGGAAGGGTGGCCCCGGGGCTCAGGGGACGGGAAGATGGAACGACAGCGTCCAGTGGGTGCAGAGCTCCGCTCGGGGAGAGGAAGTAGTCTGGGGGGAATGAGCCGTGGTGGTGGCCGCGCAACGACGTGCATGTGCGTAATCCCACTGAGCTGCACCTACAGACGGCTAAAACGGTGATTGTTGTGTTGCGTATGGTTTTACCTCTGTTGGGGTCTCTGTCCCCCTCTCTGGGCCTCCGTCTCTCACTCTGTACCGAGCTCTCACCGCCCCTCTGCAGGGCTCGAGTCTGGGATCTCCAGGTCTGGCGTCAACCCTTCTCTCCTTGCTGGGGCTCCTGCTCCCCCACCTCTCGGGACCGTGAGGACCCCACAGTGAGGAAGCAAGAGGGACAGGACTGCCCAGTGCAGGTGCCTCCCGCCGGTCTCCTGCGGGCCCTGCATCCCCACCCCGTCCTGCCCTCTCTTGTTTGTTCCCTCTGCCTTCTGTGTTTGCCATCACCTTCGCCTTCCTCTTGTTTTCCTGTCTCTCTCCTCAGTTCCCTCCACCTTCATGCCTCTCTCTGGGCCCGTATTCCCAGCCTCTTTCTCTGACTCTGCGCCTCCATATCTTCTTGTGGATTTTCCTAGCCTCTGCCTCTCCTCCTGTGGCTGCTTCTCTCTGTGCCTGTCCCTCCCTTTCTCAGCCCCTCCCAGCACCTGCTCCGAGCACCCCCTACCCCACCCTGATTTCACGAATCTAGCACAGAGTCCACCATCGCAGGCCGGGAACCCTCCCCGGACCACCCTGCCCTGGGGTCCCCCTCCCTGGATTCCTTCCAGATTATAATATCTTCCCCGGGCGGGTTCTCATTAACAATTGTGGCTGCTTCTCTGGCCAGAGAGGGGAGGGAGCGGATGGGATGAGGGAGTCCTGGAATGGGAACTAGGCAATAAAAAAATTTTTTTAAAAAGTGTCAGGAGAAGGGCGGGAGGTGGGGGTGGGGGCAGGGCCAGCTACTCAGACCAGGGATAAAAGGCTTTGCCAGTGTGACTAGGAAGAGAGACACCATCCCTACCTTCTTCAGGCACCAAGACATCAAGGCGGGACCTGAGCCCTGCCCAGCATCCTCCGTCCTGCCACCTGGGGAGTCCCAGACCCCTCCGTCTCGGTCTCTGGCCTCTACCTCTCCGTTCTGTCTCCATGTCTCTGAGAGTTTTGGTCTCTGCATGAGTGGTTCTTGCTGGCTTTGCCTCTTAGCCCCTGGGTTTCTTGCAGGTCCTTTTCTCTCACTTTCTCTCGGCATTTGTCAAAACCCGACCCCCAGCCCCCAGAATGTTTCTCCTGCTGACAGCACTTCAAGTCTTGGCTGTAGGTAAGAGAACAGTGGCATATGAGGCAAGGGCGTCCCCCTGGAGACTCTGCAAATAGATGGGGAAGGGTCCTGGGGACCCAGGATGTTCATGGGTGGCCTGCAGGGAAAGAGTAGGGAGTAGTTTTGGGGTTGTGGCTGAGGAGCATGCTGGGGGCCTAAGTTCTGAGTTGTGGAGATTTTAGGAAATTGCAGGCTTGGGGAGAGAGGCAGTTATAGGAGGTGAGGAGAGATAAATATGGAAGGATAGAGAATTGTTAGATCCTGAGTGGGTCATATCAGAAATGAGGGCCACAGGGCTCTGCTTGATGTTGTTAGGGAAGAAATAATATGGAAAAGACAGCTCGTTGTCAGACAGAAGGTGGAAGGTGATGACGGGGTGGTGGGTTCGTGGCAGGGGATGAGGAGTAGTGGATGGAGTAACTGGGGGGCAAGATCGTGGATCCTGTGGTCACACTGAGTGGGACAGTTGTGGAAGAGACAGGAAGCTCCTTGAATGTGTCAGGGAAGGGCTAATGGGGGGTGGAATGTGTGGCATATGGTGAGAAGTGATGATGGTATTCATGGGAGAGTGGAGTCCAAAGTTATAGATGTAGCAAGGCTCTGGGGGACGTGGCCATGGGATACTATGGAGGTGACTTGGGGGAGTGTTAGAAAACTCCCTGATTGTGTTGGAGCAATAATGGGGGCAATGCTGAACATATCTCACACTGAGTGGAGCATATAGAGGTGGGTGGTTTAAGGTTAGACCAAAAGAAAGAAGATTTGTCAATTCTGGACATTCTACAGAGTTGGGGGGTAGAGGGCGATTGTTCATCTGCTTTCCCCGCCCACCCCACCCCTGTCTGTTCCTAGCCATGGCACAGAGCCAGGGGGATGAGAACAAGATAATTGGTGGCTACACATGCATCCGGAACTCCCAGCCATGGCAGGCGGCCCTACTGGCAGGTCCCGGACGCCGCTTCCTTTGTGGAGGGGCCCTGCTGTCAAGCCAGTGGGCCATCACCGCTGCTCACTGCGCCCGTCCGTGAGTGACCCCCTCCTCTATTCTTGTGCCAAATGAATTCCAGAATCTAGAGCCCCAGAACTTAGCGGAGAACCTGGAGCTTTGTGTAGAATCCAGTTTAGTAGCTGAGTCCTGGTTCAGGGTCTAAAGAAGAGCCTAGAAACAAAAACACAGCTCAGAACATGGAATCCAGACATAAATCTTGAATTCAGATTAGATTCTGAAAGCAGATCAGCAGCCTAGAACACATAGGCCAGCTTAGAACTTAACATATAATCCAGAGTTTTATCCAGAGGCCAAGCTCTTTACTGAGACTAAGCTTAGCTCGTTCCAGACTGGTAATTGAGTTTTGGGCACAATCTACATTCAGAAATTCAGAACTACCTAGAACACTGAGCCTAGTTCAGAACCTACATAACTCCAGAACCCCTCTTACAGCTGGAACATACAGCTGTAGGAATAGACCCAGAATCTGGAGCCCACTCCAGATCCAACGTTTAATTTATAGTCTAGTTTATAGCTCCTCTTTGAGCAGCCTAGAACCCAGACCTCAACCCAGTGTTTGTTTAAATCCCAGAATGCAGACCAAAATCTGTAGGCCCATTTAGAACCCAGCACCTCTCCCAGATTTTAGATATGAACCTAGAACCGAGATCCCTGCCTTGAAGTTCAGGGTAGATCTTATGCAGTGCCTATAAGCCAGATAGAAGGGTATAAACTGAAGTTTCATGTAGAATCTAGAGACCAGAGCTCAGCCTCAAGTCTAGAACATATATCCCACACAAACCAGCAAACAAGCATTTAGAACCTTATATCCAGTCCCTAATCTAGAGCTCTAAGTAGAATCCAGAGTCTAACCTGAGATCAAGGGCTCAGATCAGGGTCTAGAACCAAGAGCCCAGACTACAGTCTGAGATTCAGTCTGAAACAGAGCCTGGCCTAGGATCAGGAGCTCAGATCAATGTTTAGAACTCTCAGCCCAACTGGAGCACAGAGATCAAACCATTGTCTAAAACCCTATAAAAAAAAAACCCATTGTCTTAATTTTCTTGATAAAGAACCCAGAGCTCAATCTAGTGGAGCTTATATCAGTGTCCAGAATCCATCGCTTAGGTCCTATTCCATTGCTCAGCATAGAAGCTTCAGCCTATCCTAAAACAGAAAGCTCATACTGGAATCTAGAACCCAGAATCAAGTCATTATGCAGAGCTCAAAATAGAACACCCACGCTACCCTAAAACAGAAAGCTCACACCAGAATCCAGAAGTTACACCATAATACAGACTCAATCTAGAATCTTGATCCTAGCCTAGTCAAAAATTAAAAATGTCTAGAGCCCAGAGCCCAGACTAGAACCAGGATGGAGCCTATTCCAGAATACCAGTTCTGATTTACAGCCAAGAGCCATAACCCAGAGTCTCCCTTGGAACTCAAAGCCTAGAACCCAGCATAGACCTTGGGACTGAGCCAAGAACTCCCAACCATCACCTTACGCAAAAGCCAGGAGACAGAGCGCAGGCCAAGAGAGGAAGGGGAGGCAAGTAGGGTTGAGCTGAGAAAGAATGCACAGGCCATGAAAACAGGCACGAGTCCAACATATTCTCAGCCTGCAGGGAAGGGAAGCAGGTTAGACTTAGGAAAGACCATCACCAGGGAAGGGAATGGGACTGGAGGGTGAAGAGGGGTCTACAGGTCAGACCGTGAGTAGCACCACTCTTGGGGGTCATGGGCCAGGATCCTGCGGGTAGCCCTGGGCAAGCACAACCTGAAGAAGTGGGAGGCCACTGAGCAGGTGCTGCGTGTGGCTCGCCAAGTGCCCCACCCCAGCTACAACTCCAGAACCCATGACAACGACCTGATGCTGCTACGGCTGGAGAAGCCTGCCCAACTGGGGAGGGCAGTGAAGCCCATTGCCCTGGCCAGGTCTTGTGCCAGCCCTGGGACCCTCTGCCGTGTATCAGGCTGGGGGACCACATCCAGCCCCATTGGTGAGAACTCCTGTATCCTGGAAAGGAGGGGGCTAGGGGCCTGGACTCTTGGGTCTGAGGGAGGAAGGGTAGGGAGTCTAGGCTCCTGGATCTAGGGGAGGAGGTGGCTGGAGCCTGGGCTCCTGGGTCTGAGGGAGGAGGGGGCTGGGGACCCAGACTCCTTGGCCTGGGAAGGAGGGATTGGGGGTCTGGGTTTCTGAGTCTGAAGGAGGAAGGGGCGGGGCCTTGTTCTTGCTGGAGTGATAACCCCTCAGCGCCCCCCAGCCAGGTACCCCAGCTCCCTGCAGTGCGTGAACATCAACATCTCCTCGGACCAGGAGTGCCAGCGGGCCTATTCTGGAGCCATCACTGCGGGCATGGTCTGTGCAGGGACTCCCCAGGGCGGGAAGGACTCTTGTCAGGTGAGACCCAGGGTGGGAACTGGAGGAGGGAGAATTGTTTGGAGCTTTAGGTACCAAAGGATCTCAGGATCCTGGGAGTCAGCCGAGGTTGTCAGGAGAGAGGAAAACCCCAGGGACTGAGAGAGATTTTGATAGCCAGGCTACCCTGCCTCCTGGCACTGTGCCCCTTGGGTAGGTAATGGGCTTAACCCCTTTATGCCTCAGTTTCCTCATCTGTAATGGGAATAACACCTCTTAGGGTAGTTGGTGGAATTGGATGAATTCATGGAAAGATTATAGAGTGCTGCCTGAACATATGGGTATTTGGAAACCTGTGCTGGGGCCCCTAGAAGTTTTAACCCATCGCTGAGAGAGGCAGAGACAAGGAGAAATAAAACGAGAGGTGCACACAGTTTTTTAGAGATAGAGCTAAGATAGAGAGGGGCCATGTGAGAACCAAGGGGCAGAGACCGAGACAAAGAGACATAGACACAGAGCAGGACCCAGTGAAGAAAGAAGGAAGTGTCCACCACCCCAGAGCTGGGGCAGCACCACGTGCTGGAGTCCCTGCCCTGGTATCTCAGCCATCTCTCTCTCCATCTCTGCCTCTTGGGTTCTCCATGCCCAAGGCTCTGGCTGCCAGTCCATAGGTGTCTCCATCTCTGTCCCTGTCCCTCAGGGTGACTCCGGGGGACCCCTGGTGTGCAGAGAACAGCTCCAGGGCCTTGTGTCCTGGGGGATGGAGCACTGTGCCCTGCCTGGCTACCCCGGGGTCTACACCAACCTGTGCAAGTACCAAAACTGGATCCGGGAAACCATTCAGAGTAAATGATTGTTGTCCTTGTGACTATATGCCAGCTGCCCTCCTCGCTTGGCCCTCCCCTCTCTACTCAGGACCCAGGAATCCAAGACTCCAGCCCCTCGTCCCTCAAAGCAGGAGCCCCAGCCCCCGGCATCCTGATCCTTACACCTAGCTCTGACCTTCCCTTTCCCAGAGCAGTTGCTTCAGGTTTTCTCTCCCCACCCATGCCCTCTACTCCCACAACATCATCATCATCGTTATCTACGACCCCCTTAGTCACAGAGGGCAGGAGCGCAGAGGCTCTGAATTGGCATCATATTCCAAAGAAGACAATTTTCAAAGGTCGCATTGTCTCTAAAAACTAAATAAATAATAACAATAAAAATGGGATAATCCCTCATCTCATTCATTCGTTCATTTAATTCATTCAAGAAACATGTACACAGTGGCCGCATCGTGCCCAGCCAGGAGCCATGTCCTGACAAGTGCTGACTCAGGTGTGACACCCCATCCCTGCAGTGTGACCTAGAGAAGGACTGCACCTCTCCGAGCCTCCTCTCTGGAGTTGCAGTGGTCCAGGCAAACTGCCTTGTTTCCTGGAAAATTCTATGCAAATAGAGATTCTCTTTTTCCTAATCGGATCTTGGGTGAGGAGAGTTGAGTTAATCACACTCCTGAGTTCAAGTTCAGACAAAGCGCTTCCCTTGTTTTATTTATTACTTCCACCCTTCATCCCTGGCCCTGTTCCCCTCCTTCCCCAGAGGCACCAACACAAATGGCCTTGAATAGTACCATGCATCCTTGGAAAACATGTGCTGTCACATTGTGCTGTTTCTGATTTACATGAAACCATTGTGTGAGAAATATTTTTTTCTTTTTTGGCTGCCGGTCAGTACCAAGATCCAAACCTGTGACCTTGGTGTTATCAGTACTCATTCTCTTTCTTACTTTCACTCATCAATGAGTGTTTATTGCACACCTATTATGCACCAGGCATTGTTCTAGGTGCTGGAAGAAGCCAGTCAGAATCCCTGCCCTCACAGAGCTCCTATTCTAGCAGGGAGAGACAGACAAGAAACAATAAACATAATTTAAAAGTAAAGCAGAGTCCCTATGAGTAAAGAGGTCAATAAACTTGGGCTGGGCAGCAGGCCCAGTGTGTGCCAGAGCCAGCTCATACCAGCTTGCAAAAACCTACTGGCAAATGTTCAGGAATTTTGACAGCCAGTTGCTAAATTCAGCCATTATGAAAAAATTAAATGACATAAACTTAGAATTAAATAGTTTATTTTTTAAATAATGTCAACAAATACTCAAAACTCATTCATTCTTAATTATTTTAACTAATATTTGTGCTTTGAGATTATTTATGTCTACTGTATTAGGTTTGCAACGGTGAGTTTATGCACATCTCTCCCCAACTCCGTGTCTAGTGACGTCACACTAGTAGCTTGACATCAGCCGAAGTGGGAGTATTTACACCACAGAAATTGTTAAACACTACAGAGAAGAGCCTTTTTCTCAGAGAGCCACTGTTAAATATTTACTGGTATACTCCTGGACAGGTCTACCTGGGAATGACCTCACGATCTTAGTGTCTGTCTTTCAAAGTTCTGTGCTTGGCCAATACAGAGTTCAGATAAAGTAGACTGTTGTGTGGGCCTCACCTTCTGTGGGGGCAGCACAGTATTGGGGAGCCCTTAGGTAGCAGGTCCGGGACCTGCATGACTATAGCAGCCCAAATGATTGTTGGAAAATGGAAGCTGCACCTTCTTTTTTCTTGTTGATCCCCCCACCCGCCAGGCCCTGGTAACCACCATTCTGCTTTCTGTTTCTAAGAGTTTGACTTTATTCCACATATAAATGAGATCATGCAGTATTTGTCTTTCTGTGTCTGGCTTATTTCACTTAGTGTAATGTCCTCAAGATCCATCCATATTGCTACAAATGACAGAATTTCCTTCTTCTATGAGGCTGAAAAATATTTTATACACACAGAAAATGGTACTTCAAATGCTCATGGGAAAATGGACTTAAAAGATAATACAAATCGTTTTGTGAACCTTTTTTTTCCCAGCTACAGACAACATGGTTGAATTTCACTAACACTGAATACAAGAAGCCAGACCATCACCACCACCCCACACATAGAAATACACACACAGTATAATTTCATTTCTATGAAGTGCAAACAGGGAAACCCAACCTGTTGTTGAAGTCAAGAGAGCGGTTAGCTGTGGGGAAGAGCAGGATTGGAGGGCGGGGCTGGAATATCGGGAAGGTCTACTTCTGGGCTAGGCTGTGGTCTCCACACAATGCACTGTGGGACAATGCACTGAGCTGTGTGCCCAATTTGTGTACTTTTATGAATGCTGAATCCTTGTGTTTTTTTGTTTTTTTTGTTTTTTTTTTCCTTTTTGTCTTTTTTCGTGACCGGCAACGGATCGCAACCCTCAGTGTCACGCCCGTACCGGACCAGGACCGGCAACGGGATCGCAACCCTCGGTGCTGCGCCCGCACATCGCTCAGCCAGTGAGCGGCCGGTCTGTATGTGGGATCCGAACCCTCGGCGGGAGCACCACCGAACTCCCAAGCGGCGCACTGCAGCAGTGCGCCACCGGGCCGGCCCTATGAATGCTTGTTTTAATTCAGTATAATAATTTAGAAATTCAAAAAAAAATAGCAGCCACAGACCCCAGGCTCAGGGTGCTCTGGCCCACCACCCTCTTGCAGGGGCAGGGCCAGGAACAAACCTCAGTGAAAATGCATTTATTCTCCTGCCCAGGTCTGAAGGCCAAGAGTTTTCTCTGTTGTTGGCTCCTCAGATGGAAATTGAGCCAAGTGTCCTCTGGGCCCAGCCTCATCCCAGGCATTTTTTTCAAGAATTTTTTGAACACCCCTCATGTGTGTGTGAGTGTGTGTGTGTGTATGTGTGTGTGTAATATAATAAGTAATAATATGTATATTACATTTGTTTTACCCAGGCATCCATCAACAGATACTTAGGTTGTTTCCATATGTTGAATATTGTGAATAATGCTGCAGTGAACACAGGAGTGCAGATATCTCTTTGAGATTGATTTCATTTCCTTTGGATACATACCCAGAAATGGGATTGCTGGATCACATGGTAGTTCTATTTTTAATTTTTCTACTGTTTTTCATAATAACTGTACTAATTTACATTCCCATCACCAGTGTACAAGGTTCCCTTTTCTCCACATCTTCGCCAGCACTAGTTATCTGTCTTTTTGATACTAGTCATCCTAACAGGCATGAGGTGATATTTTATTGTGGTTTTAATTTGCATTTCCCTAATGATTAGTGATACTTATCACCTTTTCATACACTTGTTGGCCATTTATATGTCTTCTTTTGAGAAATGGCTATTCAGCTCCTTTGCCCTTTTTTTTTTTTTTTTTTTGGTGGCTGGCTGGTATGAGGACTTGGACCATTTTTTAATCAGATTTTTTTTTCTTGCTATTGAGTGGCTTTGAGTTCATTATATATTTTGGATATTAACCTTTATCAAATATATGGTTTGCAAATATTTCCTCCCATTCTTCAAATTGTCTCTTCACTCTTATCGATTGTTGTTTTTTTTTTTTTTTTGCACAGAACTTTTTTTGAGTTTGATGCAATCCTATTTGTCTATTTCTGCTTTTGTTGCCTGTGCTTTTGGGGTCCTATCCAAAAAGTCATTGCCCAGACCAATGTCCCCTTTTTTCTTCTCTTAGTTTTATAGTTTCAGGTCTTATGTGTTTAAGTCTTTAATTCATTTTGAGTTGATTTTTGTATATGTTGTGAGATAGGGGTCCAATTTCATTCTTCTCCATACAATATCCATTTTTCCCAACAGCATTTTTTGAAGAGACTGTCCTTTTCCCATTGTGTGTTCTTGGAATCTTTGCTGAAGATAAGTTGACCATAAATACATGAATTTATTTCTTGGCATAGAAGAGAGATTCTGTCCCACTGGTTTATATGTCTATTTTTGTGCCAGTACAATACCGTTTTGATCACTATAGCTTTGTAGTATATTTTGAAATCAGCCAGTGTGATGCCTCCAGCTTTGTTCTTCTTGCTCAAGATTGCTTTGGCTATTCGAGGTCTTTTGTGGTTCCATATAAATTTTAGGATTATTTTTTCTATTTCTGTGAAAAATGCCAATGTAATTTGATAGGGACTGCATTGAATCTATAGATCACTTTGGTTAGTATGGCCATTTTAATAATATTAATTCTTCCAACTCATGAATGCAGAATATCATTCCATTTATTTGTGCCATCTTCAATTTCCTTCATAAATGTTTTATAGTTTTTAGTGTACAGGTCTTTTATCTCCTTGATTACATTTCTTTCTTTCTTTCTTTTTTTTTTTTTTTAAAAAGATGACTGGTAAGGGGATCTTAACCCTTGACTTGGTGTTGTCAGCACGACGCTCAGCCAGTGAGTGAACCGGCCATCCCTATGTGGGATCCGAACCCGTGGCCTTGGTGTTATCAGCACTGCACTCTACCGAATGAGCCACGGGCCGGCCCTTGATTACATTTATTTCTAATTATTAGATTGTAATAAGTAAGTGGGATAATTTTCTTAATTTTTTTCTTTTAGTTTGTTGTTAGTGTATAGAAACACAACTGATTCTTGTATATTGGTTTTGTATCCTGCAACTTTACTGAATGTGTTTATTATTTCTAACAGTTTGTAAACTCATTAGGGTTTTCTATATATAAAATCACGTCATCTGTAAACAGAGACAATTTTACTTTTTCCTTTCCCATTTGGATACCTTATATTTCTTTTTCCTGCTTAATTGTTTTGGCTTGGACTTTCAGTCCTATATTGAATAAAAGTGATGAGAGTGGGCATCCTTGTCTTCTATGTGATCTTAGAGAAAAAGCTTTCAACTTTTCCCCATCGAGTATGATGTTAGCCATGGGCTTGTCATGTATGGCATTTATTATGTTGAGGTGCATTTCTTTTATACCTAATTTGTTGAGAGTCTTTATTATGAGAGAATGTCCTATTTTGTCAAATGATTTTTCTGCATCTATTGAGATTGTCATATTATTTTTGTCCTTCATTCTGTTAATGCAGTGTGTCACAATTACTGATCTGTGTATGTTGAAACTTCTTTGCATCCCCAGGATAAATCCCACTTGGTCATTGCATATGGTCCTTTTAATATGCTGTTAAATTTGGTTTGCTAGCATTTTGTTGGGGATTTTTACATCTATGTTTATCAGAGATATTAGCCTGTAATTTTCTTTTCTTAGAGTATTGTTGACTGAGTTTCCACACCTTCTGTGACAAGATGATATAT